CCAATTCTTTGCAACGTTGACCGTGCTGAAGCCCTTTTGAACCCCATTCCTGTGCAGACGAAACTTGAACGGCTACATTCATCTCGGGCCAATGAAGGCTCAGGTTCCGTACTGTGCAGCTTGCATGTAAGGGCTTATGCGGATGAAGGATGCAAGAAGTCTTACTCACTCGAGCATTCGTACCTCATGTATCGCTTCTATGTTACTTACATGTGCCTCCAGCATGTGAGGGTCGTCCAAGACCCCATGCTCAAAAACATAAGCTCGGGGACACATCAAGCCACAATGATGCTTGCAAAAGCATCGCGAGAGGGTTCGCGGCAAGAAGCTTGTGGCTAGCCCGAACAACTTCTTTTGTAGCGCGGCATGGTGTGACCATTTTGATCACATTTGTTGCAAATCTCGTTTGAATGGTGGCGGAAGTGTGCGAAAGGTCCGCAAGAGGGGCAGCGAAAGGGTTGCTTTTGGGAGTTGGACTATTGGACGGCGTTTATATGGGGACATGAGAAGCGCTGCTCAAGTGAGAACAGGCTGTCTGAATGGAAAGACCCACTGCACCTGTGATCAGAACTTGATCAGAACTGAGCTGGTGGAAGACAGATTCTGAGCCAAGCTCACCATCATTACTCTTATTACTATGTTACCCCCCAATATTTACTATCATACCTACTTTTACTACTATACCTATATCTACTATTATTATTATACCGTATCAAAACTATTATTCCGAGTATTTCGCCAGCCTTATGGGCTCCCAGCGTTGATTCCAGTTGCCCTTAGGGCCAAGATGGATCAAGAGGGAGCCTTGGCCTGCAAGGTTTCTTTGGGCCGGAGGAAAGAAAGTAATACTAGGAATAATGAATAATAATGATTATAGGAAGAATTAAGTAATAATCGGAATACTGGTAAATCTAGGAATGTTGTAGTGATAGCAATAGCAATAACAATAATAGTATAGGAGTAATATAGAAATAACGGTAAGGAGTAGTATGGAATAGGCATGGTTTGCAATCTTATGGGATCTGCTCAGGCAAAATCGCCTGTGAGCAGTTCGGTGTGTCTCGTGGAGCTAGGGGACGCTTGCAAACTCCGAGGCCGAAGTACCAAACTGGATGATCCTCAGCAACACCATTCTTGCCATTATTCCTACGATTAAAACCATTATGATCATTGTTACTACTATGATTACTATTATTCCTAGTGTTTCCTATGGTATTTACTGTTACCCTATTACTTCCTACATTTGCTGTTTCCTATTATTCTCTACACTTACTGTCTTTCCTATTATTGCTATTATTAAAGCTTTGAGCTTCATGCCAGCAAGCCTTGCTTACCAGAAGCCAAGGAGAGAGTGGGGAGTCGAAGCAGGCGTGGACGGAGCCTGTCGTGGTGCTCCCGAACGCTGCGCCTTGCTTGCACTTCAATATGACACTTTCCCAAAAGTAGGGGTACCATTTTGGGGTCCCCATAATAAGGACTATCGTATATTGGGATCCCCCATTTTAGGGCAACTACCATATTCCGTATAGCTGCTCATTGGTTTGAACCTCTGCAGCTGCAGAAACTTGTGATTAACATGCGATCCATTCTGTCAGCCGATGTGGAGGCACAAATGTCCACTCGTCCCTGCCGGGGGGGGGGGGGCGCATCTTGATGGCTCTTGATTTGAGATTTGCTGGAAGCAGAGGTTTCGCATGAGGAGGAGGTTGGCAATGACAGCAATGTGAATGCCACGGCTGCTCCTACAAAGGCGAGTTTGTATTCTTCGCGTCTATCCAAACCTTGAAGTAACTTTGCTGCTTTGTCGAGTGCAGATCTTCCTCTATGCTACAGGACCTGGGGGCGATGTGTGTGGGGAGCGTAGCCGGAAAGTCTGGACTTTGCAGCTAGCATTCTTAAGCAGCCCGTTGACCTTCAAGAGTGTCAGCAGTCTTGCCATCTTAAAAGTGTTTGTTGGACTGGTAGGCTGTCAGACTCGGCACTTCATATCCTTCTAGATGGGCTACAATTTGAAGAGTCCGTCACATGGCTATTAATGTTCTGCTCCAGCTTCTGACTGCACCGCAAATTCTACTGTCTTTCGAGAGCCAGCGCCAGGTGGTGGATGATATCGATGGCGATGAGGAATTTCCTGAAAGTCACGTGTTTGTATTCATTGAGCCTCAGAGACTTTCGGATTTCGCCCACCTGCAAGCGGACTTTGTAGTTGACGTGCAGTCGCTGCTTCACTTAGAGGGGAGATAGGAAGTCGCGGCAATCTTGCGCATTCACGCTGGCGTCCCGACTCAACAGTTCAAGACTTATGAGGGAGGGGTTACGGAAAAGGACATCGGAAATCCCGTGGTCTGGACAAAACTAGTCTGCATCATGCGATTTCGTGCAATCCCTTTATGCAAAATTCCAGACCAGATAAGTGATGATAAGTGAGACCGCACTAATATGCATCAACTGAGGCAAGTCATGGTCCAAAACCCAAACCCGAAGCAAACCCGGCCGGACAAAGTAGAAGGGCCCTCATCCACCTTCATGACAACATGTTAGTGTCTTAAGACCTTGTTTCCTGTGTTGGGGGACCCCGATAATCAGGGTCCTAACACTTGGGGAAGTATAGAATGGGACCCCAGTCTTGTTACACTAAACCCTAAAATAATCCCAATATAATCCCAACTATAATCCCAATAATAACCCCATATAACCCCAATATAACCCCAATATAATCCCAATATCTTTCGGAGGAGCTGATGCCAGTTGCGGCGGCCAAAGTTGAAGAAGTTCAGGTGGTAAAGGCCAGCTCTACATTTTGCGATGGGTTTCGGTCTTTGTGTCTTCCAGTTGTTCGCTTGTATATTGCAGGTTTAAGGCAGGTTTAAGCGCCTGCAGCTTGTGCACCATAATCTCTGCATTTTGTTCCGTGGCGGTATGAGGCGTATATGAGATGTCTTTCACGGCCGCAAACTGCTGCAAAGGATTTTGGGTAAAGTTGTGTATGGCTGTAGGAGAAACGGTCGAGAAATTACGGCTATTAAGCATTTGAGGGAGGAGTGGATTAGTCATGTTCACTGCACTTCCACCATGAGGATAGCATTGCTGTATGATCATGCGCGGGGGCTACTGCCGCTGCTACCCCGACATATTCGTAGCGTGCAAAGGTCTCCTAAGGGCTTGGCTTTTTGTGTGTTAACCCGGCGATCCTCAGGGACCCGGATGCAAAACATGGTTTCTCAAGAATGTCAGTTCCTTATGTGATGGCCTGCCAGGTTATTGAAACGTCAAGGATGGCACGGTCATTGCTCTGTTAAACCAGTCACTTCTTAAAGGCATAATTCTTCCCATTAGAGTTTTTGCAAAAGTATCCTCACAGAGTACATACTATAGACCCTCAGATCCCTAGCATAGCATGATTGTGGTTGGTGACAGGTTCCTTGTGGGGTGGCGATGTTTTGGATGCGTTGGAAAGGTGGGGTTGCACTGATAGCTGCAAAAATGGCACCCAGGTTGCAATCGAATGTCAATCAGATGCCATTGAAATTATGCTCTAACGCCTTTTTGCCCTTCCGTTTTTTCACTGCCAGCTGGTCTTGCGGGTGCGTTACCGTTCCCCTGAAGGAGAAGACTCCCACCGCATCCTTCTGCCAGCTGTTTTCCATGATGGACACATTGGACGTTGTGGTGCTATTCTTTGGCTTCATAGGCCAGGATGCGCAGCAAACTAAAAGACGAGGGTAGTGAGCACCCCCCCTGCAATCAACAGCATACCACACGTTCCGAGACAAGGACCCAACAGAGGGACTCTGGACTAATTTGCTATTGTTATTTATTGATGTGTTCTTGTTACTACTGTTATTACTAGTTATTACTACTGTTTTTATTGGTATATGCTTGTTATGATTACTATTGCTACCATAGCTTTCCTTTTCTTAGCTTCTTCCGAGCCATTTTCAGGTGCTGCTGGGAACGGCCTGGCTCAGCCTCTGAGACTTTGCGAAACTTGCACATCTTCCCTTGCTCCCATGTGAGCTAGTCTAAACTCCTGAAACAGGATTATTTTGGGGAATTACTATTACATGGCTTATTCATGGGATACTTTGAGTTTAGACCATAACCCTTATAATCCCCTACATAACCCTATATAGCAGTTTCCATTTCATGTTCCATGTTCTTTTCCATTTGATTCTCCATTATCAAGGTGGATACTATGTGAGGGAGCCGAGTTTCTTCTTGCATATTGTCCTGCAGCTGGCTGGGGAGTTTGACTTGACATTCGTTTTGGACATTTTGGACAAGCTGGACGGTCAGCCTCATGTAAGAGGGGGACGTTGAAGGTGGGCTGTATGCTAGCTCCTGCTAGATCGATACTTACCCACACTTGGTTCTTTCTAGTTGCCGGTGTCTAGATTGACACAATCCACGGATGGGGTGAGAATGAGCCACGACCCATATGACCCTGAAGCCCACTCCGGCTTCCAGCAAATTACACACCCAACGCGCGCGCCCGTCCTTACTTCCTTCTACAAGCAGGTTTTGTACGGTGGGGGATGAAAGCTTGCATCAAGCTTCGATTCAATGAGCGCCGGTTCATCCACAAGCCACTTGCGGTTTCTGGAGATTGTAGAATCAGCTCAGAGCCCATAAGGGCATGTGCACATGGGGAAGTCTCTTGTCGTCCAGGCATCATCAGCACTGGCAGCGTTTCATGTGAATTCTGATTTCTTTGCCTGGTTGTCCGGCTGCAGAAAAATCTAGCCGAAGTGGGAGTTGCGCCCTTGTCGTTGGCTTGCGTGGGGAGCCAAAGAGGCAGGGAGCTTAAGATTCAAAGTAAAACAGCGCGTAGCCTTGTAGGATGCCCTTTGATGATACCTGTACCCCCCCGCACGAAATTGTCATCAGTTCCGCAATCTGAAACACCGAAGACGTGGCCTCTCAATCCCTTTATAAACTGAGCCCACGGTGTCCAACCTCCCAGTTCCGTTTGCCCTTAGAAACCACGAGCAGCAGCAGAGGATGTGCATTGTGTTTGGCGATTTGATCGACGGCATGGGAGCCGGTGCATCCTTGCCAACCGACCTGCCTCTCGATTGCCGAATTAGCAGATGATCGGCGGAGCAGCAGCGCAGGGAACCCGAACACGGGTTCTCGCAACGGTAGAAATGGTCTGGGACGTCCCAGTCCAGTCTAAGGTCGCCAGAGATGGCTGAACAGATGAATGCAGGCAGGCTCCAATGCATATATTGCTGTGACGCAAGTAATACTTGCTCTTGAACGACTACATGTTTTCCATACCTACTCCAAAACTCTGTCTGTTGGTCAGATTCTTCTTTGAAGTAGTACTACAGTATCGGTCGGACAAAAAGAGCGTTCGGAGGTGTTCGTACATTTGTATATTGTTCCTGTCTGGCATTACAGCCAACGTCCAACAGTTGAGACGCTGGTTGCCAACCCTGTCTCCTATTGCAACATGCCTTGTCTCAGACTGAGGACAAGAGATAGAGCGTGGTCTTGGGGTGACATGAAGACTAAGACAAGCTGTGCCCATGGTGTTGGACTTGGAGAATCCCGAAATTAGTTGTCCACGTGTACTGTGCTGGAGGCATGGCAGCCATGATGAACAAGATGGAGGCCAGCAAAGCAAAAAGCTCAAGATAGACATAAGTATGTCAGGGTATGTCTCCAAAACTGACGTCGTAACTAGCTACTGTACCCCAATAGTAGCATACTTCTTCTGAGGTCCTCCCCGAAATGAGGCCCACAACTTTGAGAAACTCCACATCAAGACAGGTCTGGCAGAAGGAAGGCACAGCATGACCTGGACTTGCTATTGTTCTGGAAGATAACCGCTCGGTAAAATCAAAGCCGCGCAGAGTCTATCAATCGTAGAAACATGTGCCGCTGGCTTAGCCGGGGAAAGGAGCTCTGCGTGACGATGTGCCTCGTTGGTCTCGGCTCCTTCATCGGGGCCAGCCTCCAGGTAGCTGCTATATGTCAGGGTCCAACTGATTGAGGGGAACGACTACCTCTGTCTCCAGGGTTTAATCCATAATCTTACCTGTAGCAAAACTTGATCAAGTACATGCATGGCCACGGATACGGAGTCAGTGCAGGCGAGCAGAAAGAACTTCTAAAAGCGTAGCCCAGAAGCAAGCTGCCCACCTTGTCACCTGGAGGGATCTTGCTTCAAGATCTTCGCCGAGCGGCAGGCGTTGAAGTACCGCTCTCTGCCTGCCGGGTCGCAGTTGATCTTGGGGCCAAGCCTTTGAGGGTAATACGTAATATCGAAGAATTGATTTCAACATAGCATGGCTTGGCCTTCGGTTCAATATGGACTTTTGGCAGCAGCATTGTTTCTGGATCCTTGGCTCATTCTAAGGGCCATGAATTCAACAAAGTGGGTTGGGTTCAGAACATGTGAAACTACCTCTTGTGATTCTGGGAATCTGAGAAATCATTTTCATTCACAAAGCTCGACGGAGTTGTCGCGGAGAATCTATGCTGCTGCTCGCACCTTCAGGCTTTGCCAGCATGCAATTTGCACCTTCTCCTGCTACTACAAGAGTTCTCTCAATCTTACTTAGCCAATAGAAGAACTTTAACCTTTATGGGCTTCCTTTTTGGGTTTCTAAAAAAAAGCTTAAACTTTTTTAGGCCTGGTTATTGGGGAAGAGAGCAATTACGTGTCACCGGAAGCTAAGGTACTTTGATGCAGTGCTGCACCAAGACGTCGGATGGTTTGACCAGAAGGCAGGCATCAATCCATTCTCCTTTCCATTATCCCAATATAACCCCAATAGATCCCCTATATACCCCTTTATACCCTATGATACTATAGTATACAAGTCTCTGGCAAAGTTCGCAGCCCGCAGTCTTCTGGCACGGCCCGGATGTGTCAAGCATCTCCAAGTTCTCCAAGTTCAGTGGGGCAGGTGTAGGGGTATGCTCTTGCACCCTATGCCAGAGCTCATCCCAAACCAGAGAGGAATTATAGTAGTTTCTATTTTCTTTTCCATTATCCCCATATCACCCCACTATAACCCCTAATAATACCCTCATGGGTACCTATAGGATCTTTTGCTATGGCTTCGAAACGATGGAACGCACGGTACTTGCAGCTGACAGGAGATCGCCGCACTTCCATCAGAGATTAACGATGATCTGGAAAAGATTCAAGACGCCTTTGGTGATAAGCGCTTTGCTTGCAACTCATGAGAGTATGCGGCGCAGGCAGGTACCATTCTTCGTTTCAGTGTACTTGTTGACCGGTTTGGCCGTTCAACAGTTTACTTAAGACTCTGCGAAGAGTGGACGCAGCGTGAAAGTTCAGATCTCTGGCACGTAATACGAGCGAAGGCTTGCAGAAACCATATGAGCTACAGTCTAGACTCCTTAAAGGCGGTTATATAGGAGATAATACAGGGGTAGTATTATGAAGGTTACTGAGGGGGATGCTAGGAGTTCATATGAGTATGTGACCTTAAGCCATTAGCTCATCATGGGGAATTTTGGGAGCTCCTAGGCTCCTAGCTGCATCCTGAAGCGGAAACCCCTGCACGCCAGCATTGATAAATCTTCAACCAGCCGATGTCAGCCAAATGGTCATGACGTGGCTTAAAACGCTGCATGTAAGCCAGACTTCTGAAGCTGACTGTCACTTCACTTAGCGGGCTTTAGTAGGGAATAAGGAAATACATTGTTATAGAGAATATATTCCTATCTTCCCTACCAGCCACCAGTAGGTTCAAATGTACGACAACTTCGACTCAGGTTTGGCAATGGCATCATGTCTCTCTCAGCCTTCCTGGGCGGCTTTGGCTGCGCGTTTGGAATGGGCTGGCTCATTGCTCTTGTGCACCTCGGTTCTGACTTGTCATAAGGCTCTCTCTATAGGACTTATCAATCAGTGCATCATTCTAGAAGTATGGTTGCTTTCCTTTGTCCCCAACACTCTTCACTTGGTCCTATCCGGCTTTCTCGCTCACTACGCTAGCCTCGAGCAACGACCCGGGGCGATCAGCAAAGGATGTGCTCCATGCTTCCCTTCATGGGGGTCGGTGCCGCGGTCATGGGACAAGCAATCCAGGAACCTGGGATTCAAAGATGGGAGTTGCATGTCCAATTTTTGCTACTTCATGCTGAGCCCCAAGGGGTATCAGGGGCCGATGAACTCCTACCCCTCGGCCCTCTTTCAAAAGTATGGTCCAGATGTATTCTGATGAAAGCAGAAGCTCCCCGCGGCCATGCTACCCCCACGAGCATTACAGCCAGAGTCTGAGACTTGAGCAGCTACCCAACCTGGTGAGATTCGCAATTACCTTCCTGGCCTGGGCCACAGTTGAAGTTTCGAGAGCCAAGTAGAATTCATCCTGCTCTACCCAGCTTGACGTCATCAGCTCAGGATGTCATGCTTGAGCAGCAGAGCTGGCAACCTTCTTGCAAGCAGGGCCAGCTGACGCAAGTTTTGCACGTAACGCGAGCGGCAAGATTCACATGGTCTCAGGTATGCGAAGGCCGCTGCTGTGGTGGAGGAGTCCGGGGCATCTTGTTAGCCATGATTAGCCCCGAAGACCATCTTGCAACTTGTGGTTCCTTCGGAGATCTTTTGGATGCAAGGCTACCAAAAAATCATCATCATCATCATCATCATCATCATCACCATCATCATCACCATCATCAACCTCGTCATTGAGGGCTGCTTTCACACAGTTCTCATTGGGATTTGGTCTAATATTGCAATATAAAATTGTATCATCCTATCGTGTGCTATAAAAAATGTTTATAGTAGAAACATAATTTTATAGTACGAAATCATAGTGTGATGTTAGAATATAACGCTATGGTCCCATCTGTGGAGAGGAGTGTCTTTTTGCCATGCGCACTGTCGTAGCCTTTGGCGGCGAGCACCGCGAGCTCCAGCACCTGGGTTCGGCCAGTCATGGGGGTTTGCCAAAATTAGGGGTACCTAGTATAATGGAGAATCAAATGGAAAAGAAAGTGGAAAATGAAATGGAAACTGGGTTAATATAGGGGGTTATAGGGATTAGGGTTTCCCAAAATCAGGGGTACCGCTTTGGGGGGTCCCGATTCTAGTTTGTAGGGGTCTATACCGGGTCCCCCTATCTAGGGAAACTAGCTCATGTCAGTTGACTATTCAGGTTCGATTCTTCCTCCACCCTTGCAACTCTCAAGAGAAGAACGAGAGTAAAGCTGGAGGCGTACTTATGCCAACCGACACTTGCAGTTCCGATATGACACTGCAGTAGGTATGCAAGGTCCTGATGGACCCAACTCTGAGCTCAGGAAGTTTTCGGCTGCTCTGGTTCACACCCGTCGGGGTGGGATCAGGAATGGCTTCAAGGCCATTTGAAGGAGATGGCAGCCATTCAAGATGGTCCGCGGTGCTTCTCCGGAAAGCACACAGTGAGTGACGGTGTCGCTATCAAGGAAACTCGCCCTGTGTAGGTGGGCGCGGGCATGGGCTACACGATGATGATTGTCTTCCTGGGCTACGCTCTCGCTTTCTGGTCCCTTGGTTCATGTGACATGTGGCTTACACGTTATGGAGAAGTCCCAGGTTCAGCACTGTTTCCGATGCCCGGCGTTTCGCCAGCAGCATAAAGGTTACAAGTGCAGCTGCTGGACAGTCATTACCTTTGATTTCTCATCTTGGCGAATGGCATTCACCAACTGCCACAGCAGCCATGTGGCTTAACGCGAGCATTTGTTGAAAAGATGGCTGACTCCGAAGAAAGCTGAGGTTTGGCATGACTCTGCGCTACAATGACCAGATAAATCCGGCCACAGGCCGGAAGATCTGCACGACGGTAGCTTTCTTCCATATCATTGCCAGGTGGTTATGCCGGTGACTTTGAAAGTCCCAAGTGAAGGGCATCTGTGAACTCCATCAGGATTAAGTCTCCAAAAAGTTTCTCGAAATCATAGATCCTGGGCTGGGCCGAGATGTGCAGGTGCGGAGTGGAATCCTGGCACGATCATGTCCATTTTCTTTTGCATCTTCATTGGCAGCTTCATGATCGGAAACCTGGACCCCAGCTTGAAGGCAAATCTGCTGACTTGAGGGTTGTGCTCTGAAGCTTCCAGCAAGCAGTTGTGGGTTCAGATTGTGTCGTTAAGTCCGTCGACTGCTGCTCAATGCTTTGTACTTCAGCTGCCCATCCCAGCTTGAAATTTGCGATTCAAGAACAGCGTCAAGAGACGCTGACCATCCAGCTTAGGGCCCACGTTCAACAAGTTGGATCTCGTAAGCCCAGTCCTCTTTGCTGTTGTCAGTACACCTTTGTGCCACCAACGCTCAAACATCAAGTCCAGTGGCAGGAGCATAATCTCCAAACCTTTGATTCGTATACAATAGTAACAATAACAAACATATGTGTTAAAATAGTGTATTAAGCACAATAGTAACAACAATACTAATTAATACTACAACTAACATCAGCTAAAGTAAGGCTAACAGTAATAATAACAATACAGATAGTGATAGTAACTACTCTGTTGTCCAGCAGGCCATGAAGGCTGCGCAAGCTGCAGCAGGACGATTCTATTCCATTGTCAACAACAAGTGACTTGGTTGTTCCAGTAGGCCTCAAGCTCAAGCCAGGAAAGGCATTATACTATAATATAGTATAATATCATATAGTGCAGTACATAGTATACCATAAGATAGTACCATAATAGGGTATTCAACAAAATGCCATGGAGGCCCTTTCTGTTCAGAAGTTTAGCCTTAAAGCAACCAAGGCCTCTGATCCAGCGCCGCCTGAAGGCCAAGTTTCATCTTCTGTTGGGTCTTCAGGTTCCATTCAGGGGACTATTATAGGGATAATAGGGGACTATTAGAGGGTTAGATGGTTATAGGGGATTATATAGGGGACTATTGTAAAGGTTAGAGGGGATTATACAATAGGCATGGTTAACCGGGCCCCTGAAAATCTTGAAGCACGATGATCTGAGCTATGAGAGTTGGGACAAGAATAGAGTACAGTAACAGCGCATCTGGCGGGGTTCCAGATTGCGTTCAGTAAAGAGGCTCAGCCTGTGCCGAACCCTAGAAAAATTCCCCGGCAAGACTGAGTGTGCCCGCTGTTCACAGGATGAGCGAGAGGGGCTTGACAGCATTGATAAGTTCGAGTTCGACAATGTGCATTTCACCTATCCGGCGCGTCCAGACGTGAAGGTGCGCATGGGCGAACATGGCAATGGTCTAGGATGGGAGGGTACAGTAACAGACGATGAGTTGTGGAATTCTTGCTTTCTGCTCCAGGATGATTTGGGCATTCAACTGTCTTGCGCGGGACGATATAGTCAGGTATTAAGTATGGAGTGGGGCAGGTGCAGGTATACGCAGGTGGCATGGCAACGAGGCTGCACACACTTTGGAGACTCTGTCTGGGCACAAAAAATCATCCTCAACTCTCAAGCGTTCGCATCGCAATTTTGCCGATCATGAAATTGCTCAGCCCCGAAGTTCCTTGCAGATCTCTTTATGTACAGGTCCCATCCTTCCTGTCGAGCATGTGGGTCTTGTTTGGGATCGCCCCCTCGGCCCAAAGGCAAGAAGTTGCTTTGCAAGGTCCTCAACAGCCTCTCTTTCACCATCCAGCGCGGTCAGAAGGTCGCTTTTGTTGGAGAGTCCGGCTCCGGGCTGCTAGGTTTGAATACGGCATCGGGTGGCCTGTTGGAGGCTTCATGCTCCATGCTGGAGCTTACCAAGCTAGAAGACACTCATGGCCGAAGGGCTTCCCAGGGATATGGACCATTGAAACACAACATGGATGATGAGTTTTTATCAAATTACTGTGTCGGTCCCACTTCCACGGCCTCCCATTGACAAACCATTGCTTTTGCCTCCTTTACTACTATGATCCCATGTGGATTCTGAATCTTAGGAAGTCCACAGTCATGGCTCTATTGGAGCGCTTCTACGATCCCGATGCTGGAACGGTTCTGGTCAACGGGCAGGACACTGCCACGCAGCTAGGGCCAGGGATTCGGGAAAATCGTACACTTCAGTGAGCCCCTTTGCCTGCATTGTGGGAATGCTGCCAGTTTGGTTCTCCAAGCCAGGGGACATCTACTGAGAATCATCCTGATGTATAGGGTAGCTGCAAAGGCTTAGAAGGGACAGGCTGATACTGGTAATGGGGGAATGCCGATGAAAAATATCCATAATCCAAGGTTCTGAGGAGTTGCAGTCGTTGTGCCTTGTGCGTGTCGAAGGACATGAGAACTTTCAAAGTCAGCGCCCTGCGGCGTTGCATTGGCTACGTCGGCCAGGTTGGCAGCACCCAGCAGCACTGCATACTCCCGATAATGGAGAATAACATGGAAAATGAGATAGACACAGGGATCGTGGTGGCTTAAAGCAGGCCTTGGAAGCAGTTGCAGAAAGGGTTCTCTGTAGTGTTTCCTACATATAGTCAGGGACTCCAGGGAACAACCAGTCTTGGCATGTAGATTCCAAAGTCAGAGCCCGCATGGAGGTATTCGGGAATAAAGGCCAGGCGCCAAACCTCAATGTGAAGTATCGACCTGATGAGTGCACTGGGGTCCTTAACCAAACGTCATTTTCTACAGGTGAGCCTTTGGTAGCAGGGCACGACGATTGCATGGGCTTTGGCAAGAAAAGGCACAGCCAAATAGCAGCTGATGATTGTTCATCTGCATGTGACTGCTAGCACGAGATCCCTGCGACTCTGCAGAACCTTTAGCCCGTGGCCACTGCCACAACAACAGCAAGTGGATCGCACATTCATAACGGTAGAGATCAAGCAGGACGATCTCCACAACGATGTCAATCACAAGAACCGGCAAAAAATGAGTACAAGGGCATCAATGCACGCAGCATAGCCGCCTCCCATGCAGGAGCCGGTGCTGTTTGCCAGCTCAATTCGAAACAACATCATGCAGGGCAATCCCGAGGCCTGCAAGTTCCAAATTGGGGCAGTGGTGGTGTGACGTCCTCTACATGTAGTCACTTGTCGCGCCCTTCCTTGAGGCATCGAAGGAGGAGTTCGCCAAAGCTTGCAGGGATGCCCAGCTGGACTACGTGGAGAACCTTCCCGCCGCTCTGCATCTAAAGAAACCTGCAAAGGGGTTGGGTTTGTTGAGGGCCGTTTGTTTGGTGCCGCACATTGGAGGATGGCTGGTAGCCAACCATTTTTCCCTTGGAGCTGAGCTTTCGCATGAGTGACTAATGACTAATGCCACAAGCATATCACCTGATATTTTCCAATGGGTTGCAGGCTTATGGGCCAAGAGCCTGATGTTTCTGGTGCCTTCCAGGCTGCATAGACTGGGCCTTACTTGGACCTGACGCATGTTCTAGCAGGCTTCTTGTTGTACGCTCATAGAGTAATTCTGCAACCCAGGAACAGTACAACACCTTCGTTGGCGCTGGTGGGGGGCAACTCTCCGGAGGCTTGTGACATGTAAACTGGATAGTGGGATCGTTATATACAAAATGCAAGAATCAAACGACAAGGCTCAAATTTCATCAGCTGGCAGCGTGTCCCACTCAACCGAGCCACCATGGCACATCGATCCAAAAAGCTGGCATTTTTGGACCAGGCTTCCAAAGTTTCCCCCCTCTCTCCCCGAACAAGAGCGGCGAGCTGAGCCGTAGCAACCCTGGCATTTGCCAGGCCAGAAGCAGCGCATCGCCATTGCCAGAGCCTTGCTGAAGAAGGCTTCATTCCTCTTTCTAGACGAGGCGAGGAGTTGGGCAAAGTGCGTTCATTTAAGCAATCCCTTTTTCGGTTCTTGCTGCGATGATCAAAAATTGTAATTGAGCTCCCCATTCCTCCGGTGAAGAAGCAGGAAACTTCCACTGCCGAGTGCTCTAACACTGCCCTAACAACCAAAAAGCCCTAAAGGCTACCAGCGCTCTGGACAACGCGTCTGAGAAGATGATTCAGGTGCCTTTTCCTGCTGGGATGTGAAAGCGAGCCATGGCCAAAGCCATGGCCAAAAGAATCCTGAAGGCTTGTAATTTAGGGGGTTGTATAGCGTAGTATACGGAAAAGGGAAAATAGAATGGAACTTGCCATATGAGTTCGGGGTTAGGGGGTATTAGAATCAAATGGAACATGACATGAACACTTATATAAGGGGGTTGTATAGGAATTAAACCTTGGCCATCCCTTAGACAATGCCCCGCGCAGGCAACCATTGACAGCATCAGCAGCAACATGACCGAAGGTTTGGGCATCGCCCCTTGCCTCAAGCCTACCTGCATTTTTGGTAAGCCCCGATAAAAATGGTAGTCATAATAAGAGAAATGGTACTAATAACCTCGGAGATAGAGGTTTCCACGCTGCTTTGGAGTTTGAACCCTCAGTGCGTGGACTTTTGCAGGGACTGGAAACTGATTTGCACAGTGTACCAAATGGTGAGGTTAGCATCGCACATCGGCTTTCCACAGTCCGGAATGCTGACCTCATCTACGTTGCTCGGCAGGCAAAAAAGTGCACAGGGTCGTACAGCCGCAGAATGGGAATCATTGAAGTAGGTTGAGCTGTAATAAACTACCTAATCAAATGGCACAGCAATGGGTGTCAAGGCTTTCTAAAACTTGGTAGCCCCCAATTGTTGGCTGCCGGTAAATCGCAATCCTAGATAGTAGTTTCCACTATTCTTTCCATTAACCCTATACAACCCACATATAGGCGCCCCATAATCCCAAATTGTTCAGTTTGGCTAGCAGAGTTCTGGCGTGACAGGCTAAAAGCCAAGGTCCTGAGTCGTGGCTCGCTGGTGGAACGTGGCAACCACACGTCTCTGATGGAGTTGCCTGTCCCAAGATAATGCTGTGAAATTCCGCAGTACTACTGCTAAGGGCTGTTGAGGGTCTTTGCTTTGGGAGGGTGGCGTTCGGCCTGCGTTAAGTCAAAGTTTGCGCTCGTGGACTTCCGCTGTCGGAGGTTGCAGGGTTGGGGGTTAGCTTCGCAGAGGGCACCTGACTATTTCAAAGTGGCAGCAGGTCCGAGAGGGAAGTTGTAGAGTTCCGAAAAATCAGTTGGCGTTATGCAGCACCACCAAGGAAAAAGGGCATGTATTATGCCCTCGTAGCAGCGCAGGAGTCGTCGCACAAGGCTCGGTGGATCTTTCATCGGGTGAACCTTGTTGTTCCTGCGCGCTTTTCGGAAGCAGCCGCTGCAGAGTTGGTTAATTCAGGGCTTTTGTAGGCTTCTTTCGACTGAGCTGTCCAGTACTGTAGTCGAGAGGGTTCTCGACAGGCTGATGAGGACGAGAAACTGGACAATGAGGCCCTGGCAAAGCCCTTGTGTTGACAAAGCGGCCTGCAAGATATGCGCAGTATTGCCTGGCGTAAGCACGAAAATGGTAGAAGCCTCGGCCCTCAAGCCTGAAGCTATCACGCTCGGAGGGAGAATTGCGTGGGTCTCTGTCCTGGGGATTCAAGGCCGTAAAGAGCTTTACAGGTCATGTGCCAAGCCCAGTCGATGCCTTCAGGTCTCTGAGCAGCAGAAGACGGAGAGGCCATGCATGCATGCATGGGGTTTCGGGGCGGCTTGTAGCATCCTGTAACACTGCAAGACTTTCATGCGCTTGGTCACATCCGTTTGTTGTCCAGAACAAGGCGCCCGGGTGGGGACTTGTTGTTTCCGTAGTTTATTCGGTGGAGATGGGGCATTGTGAGTTATGAGTCTTATGGGCTCAGTAGTGTGATGGCCGGCAGCCGCTGTGACTCCAAAATCTGCATCTCACCTGACAAGTGAAGGCGAGGCTCCACTGTGTCGGCAGAATCAGAGACGGCGCGCGCGACCAGGGAGAAGAATCTTGGATGGTTTGCGAGAGGTCAAGCTCTTGAAGATCCCTCGTCGCTTCTCCCCACATGTCATACCCCCTGCCTAGCCCAAGGTCTAGTGACTAGTGTGCACCTGCAATGCAAGCCAAAAGAGATATCACGTCTTGTACCTCCAACTCCCCAGCCTTCCTATTCATGTAGGACAGATTCTCATCTTTGGGCATTTGTGGAGCCGGCGAGGAAAGCTGAGGAGGAGCGCGAGAAGGAAATCGCCAGCAAGTACAAGGCTGAAATTGCGTAGAACATGTCGGCCGTAGAAATTCGCACCCTGTTTATGGCCTATGCACACAGTATGCCTCATGGCCTTAATCGGTTGCAGTTGAGCTTCCCATTTCCCACCCTCGCTTGACTAAATGAACCATGCACTCATCGTGCACCATCATGTGAATTACATATACGTCTACAGCAGAAGTAGCCTGAACCAACTGGCAATGACTAGCACAATGTACGGAAGATGGGACTGCTGCGGACTGCTTCCTAGCTAACTGGCAAATGCTCGCAGGTCCCCATGATGCGCTTGATGAGTTACAACAAGCCTGAGTGGTGCCTGGGCTTCAGAGGACCTAAAAAGGTCCCGCATGTCAACAACGTTGGATACATTTTATTGGATGGTCTGCGGAGTCTGTCAGAAAGAGTCCCTGAGCAAGTCATATGCAATAAGGGAAGCACGTCAGCGGAGACATGCAAGCATGGAAGATGCAGTGGCATTCGTGTTTAGCTGCTCCGCTATCAAGGGCCTTCTTCGTCCCGGCCGTTCTTGGTGCCCTAGCTGATGGCGCTTCCATGCCAGCAGCTAGGTCAGCAGTGGATCTCTGTGGACTTCCTGCTTTATGGGCAGAGCTGTAGAGTCGGGCATTTCGCTGGTTCTCTTGCAAGGAATGTGGTGATCCCGCATTCCGAAGTGAAAGCAGATCTTAGAGATGTGCAGCACGCAAAACTGAGCCATGATTGTGACAAGGATGCAGAAAATTGAGCAGCTTAGGTCTGCACAATCGCTCTTGTCGGCTCCATGGATGGTTTCTTCAACCCAGACAAGGCTACCTTGAGCTAACACATTTATACGTGTCTACACAAAATGCTATGTAAGCACATCCCAGTCCAGTTTTTGGAAGCTGGGTGACATAACCAGTTTGTTGAGGACGCTTCTCATATGATTTTCGTCGACCACCATAGCTTTTGGTCGCAGGCGGTCAGGATAGTTGTAGGCAAAGGTTTCTCAGGACAGTAGGTGCTTTCACTTCCCATATGCTAGACTGGAGCCTTTCAGGCAGAGTCCTCTCCTTGAGCCAGGGAAGGTCCAGAGAGCCATGCGCGAAAAGCAACCCGCGGATTCAGGGTGAATGCCACAGACTCCATTACCCAAAGACGGATTTTTTTGAGGATCCTTCGCAATCCCCTATATAACCCCTATAACCCCCCAATATTATAGTAGTTTCCATTTTCTTTTCCATTATCCCAATATAAACCCTAATATTATACCCTATATAACCCCAATGGACTCAATCCCAAAGGAGGCCATGCGCGCAGACCTTGAGCAGCCTGGATGCAGATTTTGGCCTTCTGAGTTCCGGAGTTTCAAGCCGTACCCCAAGAGCTACTTTGAAGTTAGAATCAGGTTTGCCAGGATGCTTTCTAGATAATTTGATGAGCTTCGGAAATGTTCGGAGGACCACTGGCATGTCAAAGACTCCAGCCTAGTGAGGCAAGACCTATAATTTGTTGCATCGAGGCTGACGACCGTCTTAGCCAGTCTAAAGAGACGTGATTGATGCTTGCGAACCGTACGCCAGCTGTTGCTGGCTTACCGACGTACTTGGACCCAAAAACATGGCTAGCTGATGCTCATGATGCTCACTTTGCGGAGTACGCAAGATCACAACAGGCCAGCTAAGGTCTGCGTTCACATTTGTGCGTATGTTAGAACGGCATCTCCCTTGGCACCCGGCCTACTCGGGACATGAAAGGCTCATGGCCATCATCTTCGTCATTATTGGCGTCAGCAACTTTCTGGCTGCAACAATTTCCCATGGCTGCTTCGCCATTCTTGGCGAGGCCTGGTTCTCTTTGCATGGGCAAGCTCTAGGATAAGGGTGGGGAGATTCGGCAGGTAAGAGGTAAGGGAACCCTGTTGACCTCGAATGTGGTGGTAGCTGTTTCGGCACGCCATGTCTTCAGAAGCTTAGGAGCGTTCAACAGGGGCAATGTCAACATTCTAGGTTTTAGTGCTGCTTCAAGCACAGGCGATGACCCAGCGCTTACGCATCGCCATCTTGACGGGAATGTTCCGCCAGGATAGCCCAAGTCGACTTGCTTTCAGCTTCAGTGTGCAACGTGTGTTGCGTGGCCCTGCCTGTGAAGCTTCAATCAAACACTTGCATTGCCAGAGCGTAGAGCTTCTTAGAACAGATGAGCAGCTGGGTTGTGCTGGTTGGCTTCTGCCTGCATGGAACTTGTTTCAGGGATTTCTTCGCCTGATCCGCAAGGCATTGCGTGACACAGTCCCAAACCTTGCGACCGCGTCTGCCAACTCTGCAGGAAGTGGGTTTCCATGATGATCCTGCGCACACCCCGGGTATGCTGTCAAAAGCTTTGGAGTACCTGGGCCATTTCAAGAGCAAGCCGCCCCATGCATGCAACACGGACGAGTGGTTTGCGTGTAATCTCCCAAGCCTGGACCCCAAACATCCCTGAGCCCAACAGATTTACACTCCACTGGTGAAAGTGCTATGTGAGCTATAGGCTAAAGTGCTTAAATTAAAAGGGGGTTATATAGGGGATTACTAGGGACTGTTGTACGGGTTATTAAGGGAGATACTAGGACAATGCGGCAAAACAGGCTATGGGCCTTCCGCGTCACTGTTCTTTGCAAGTCGGTGCAAAGCAAGGCAGCCGCCTTCGCTTCGTTGCTCGCCCCAGCAAATTTCTTGCATTCCTAAAGTTCTGGGTGGGGCTCTGTTAGCGCTTACAGTAGATGTTTCGGTTTCGGTTGGCTTCTCGTAGAAAGGGGTCCAGAAGATCCTGTTTTCAGCGATATCTATTGCTGCGGAGTAGAGCAGTGGTAGCTTTTTGTTTTGTACCTCCCCACTTCACCCCGCTTGCAGCTGCCAGCTGTGTCCTCGAGCCTGCCAACCCCAAGGATAACCGAACGGCCTGTAACTAAATTTCTCGCGGGCCCCAGATTCGAGAAAAGCTAGAAGCTGGGAAAGGCGAGTCTCGATTCAGGAATGAGCCCCAGACTTTCTTCAAGATACCACCGCACCAATTCACACCAATCGTGCGGAACAGCCGTTTGTGATGAAGGCAATAGTAATAGTGATAGTAATGCCGGGCTCCGCAAGAAGATGTTGGCTTACAGTGTTTCCGGGTGCATAAGTAAATTCCGATCGGCTCCTTGTCAAATCACAGCTCATGTGAGTTACTTTTGATTGCGACGCTACTTGGGCAATTTGCAAATCTGTGGCCTGCTGTAGAATTGTAGAACAATGAGCCTGAGGAAACATGGCAACATGGAAACCGTCTGCAGAAGCATGCAATTTGATTTTGAGGTTGGTGGTTGGCTTAGTCATCGCCTTCGTCTACTGCTGGCAAATGTCGCTAGTCATGCTGGGTCACTCGGCATTGGCAGCAAAGTAGAACTGCAGATGTGGTGGCAGTATCGGCAGTCCAGTTGCATCAGAGAGGAAGTGGATGCTCTGGAAGTGGTAGTTGGTAGTTGTAATGCCGCAGCAGTGGCACGTGATCGTCTCACACGGGCGGCGGCGGTGGCGTGTGGCCGTCAAGGCAGCGGCAGCTGCAGGGACAGGTGGTGGTGGCCAGGTGGTGGTGGCGGCGGTGGTAGTGATGAGACTCCTGGCAGGCTTGCACACGTAGCTGTCCATGTTGATAGATGGATCATGACACTCGCCGGCCTTCATGACTTCAGTGCATGGCTGGTTGTTCCGAAAGCCTGCTGCAGGCTCGATCCCCATCATGGTGGTTGCCAACGCAATCCAGGTTGTTGTCCTGATGGGTGCATCAAAGAACGAGAACGCAAACCTCACCAATGCCCAGCAGATAGTTGTGGACTCCGTCATGAACGCGCGGACTGTGCAGGCCGCTGTCGGACATCATCGTAGGTCTACCCTTACAACACATATCCCAGAGCTAGAAGGCCAGAGAGGGAGATACTCTGACACTGCGGAGCCCACTTGTTTGAGTGACCAGGAGGATGCACACAAGCTCTAGAGCATGTTTCAGCCCCCATTTCTTATGATAGTAGGATTCTCTGATTGGCCGCTGTCCGTGAGCTTGCACAAAACGCATGCAGCGGTGGTACCTGAATTTTATGGATTAACTGCGCATCGGAGGTCGGCAGTTGCTCTGCCCAGGACAGCTTCTTGTCGCAGAGCTGCGGCTCAAGACAAGCCCTCAACAGCAAAAACACCCGTCCTGAAGAGTTGCTCCTTGGCATGTTTTGTGCTTCTTTTTGCACTTGCTGCCCAACTATGCCGGCGCCATCCTCACACGAGCAGTCGGACCTCGAAAAATCTGTCACCATCAACGTACGACTTCTCTCCGGCAAGACCTTGGTGAACCTAAGCGTTGCCGACCACACGCAAGCGGATGAGCTATGGCTCCAGGCCCGGGGAAGGTGTAGTAGAATCAATTCATTATTGTCATCATGTTCATTGATACCTTATTGTTATTGTTAATACCTAAGGTCACTTTGCAGGAAGTCTTTTGTTTGGTTTCTGACATCCCTCTAGATGATGGGCGCACATCAGCTAATTAGAGGCTTGACCACGCCGCCAAGAAATTCCCTTTTGGAAGGTAGGATCTTTGTTGTTGGCTGCTGGCAAGGTGCAAGCTGATGCGACCTCACAGCTCACGCACGAAGGATGCTGCATCCGTTCCTTGCTGTGGGGTGCCAATGTACTCGCTGGGAAACAAACTCTGAGGGATCTTGGTATGCACGGCCAGCAGGAAGTGGTTGTTGTAACCTCCGTTGGACTTGAAGGCGATTTTGAGATTCCGCCCTGGGTGCCCTACCTGCAACTGCTATGCAGAGGCAGCGAGCATGCGTTTTGAGCTCTCCGGCATGGCCTCTTTTACCTCTTCGATTGGGGGCTACTTCAAAGGTGACTACGCAGAGCAGGTGCGCACCTTCAAGTACACGCTTGGCGAGGTCGAGGAGGTCGAGGGCGAATCGCCAAATCTCCGACGTAGCTTATTGCTGGAACAGCTTTCCACGGACTCAGTGACAGACCCCCCCTGCAGACTGGAGGGCTGGCTGCTTCTAGATGCAGATGATCCCATCAAGCGCAGAGTGAGCATCAGTGGCTTGACAAGGCCCGACGACAATAGCTCGCCCAGGGAACTAGTGCTGGAGGACCTCCGATGGCTGAAGCAGCGCGGCAAGGATGAGGCCCAGATGCGCTTGCGGCTGCTTCTGCCATTTTACCAGGCTAGAGAAAAGGAAGCTGAGATGATGAGAGAGGAGGCCTGGAACCCAGAGTTCCGCTACGGCGAGGAGCAGCTCTACAGGCGTATCTTCGCAAGGCCGAGATGCGCGAGCGAGCGCTTTGTGCGCCACCAGCGCCCAAAGCCCAGGCACGGGCGCCGCAGTCACTGCTTCTGTGGCTTGGCATGCCAAGGCCGCAAGAGCCACTGCAAGTGTCGGAGTCAAGGAGATGTCTGGGCCGAGGCCAAGCGAGCGCGCACAACCACGCGCAGGGCTGAGAGGGCCGTGAAGATAGAGGCCAGGGAAGCGACTGAAGCGGCTGCCTAAGGCAGGAATCATGCTGTTACGAGTTCCCGCACACAAACTTCACAAAGTCCAATGTGTACAGTGTACAGTATACAGTTCTTGGACGGTGCTTCTGGATTCTGCTGGGCCTATGTTCAGGCTTCAATACCAATGGCATAGTAGTTTCCATTTCAGTTTGCATTTTCTGTACCATTGAATGGCTCTCCGTCACTGAGTCTCCATTACTACTCGAACATTGGTATTGTTGAAGGCCGTCAACGACGGCCAGCCCAGCCTCTCAGTGGAACTTTGGGCTTGGCAAGAGAAAAATCCCTGTGAAGAGCCTGCGTGGCTTTTGCAGACTGGCGCGTGAAGAATAAGATGATGATGATGATGATGATGATGATCGGAGCTTTCAGCTAGCAGCTAATTCCTTCAAAGCTCTTTTTCACACGCAGAGTTGAAGGCGCTTGGGGTGGAGAAATCGCTGGTCTCGCTGTACATGGGCTGGGTGAAGAAGCGCCTTGGCAAGTCATAAGGGGGCAGTGGTCCAGGCAAGGATTCAGCACGTATCACAGCGTCTGGTGCCAGCAGGTTTCTGCACAGTCGTTCTAAGCGCCCTTGTCGAGCCTTGATGTTTGGCCGCAAGCCCCTTCTGTGAGCACGGAATCACCCAGCGCAGACATCTTTGGACATTCAAGCTCTGGAGTCGCTTAAGTCCTAAATTGAGCCTGAAGCTTCTCTCGAGGTCATCAGTGGGCATGTGGAGTCGCAATCTTCTTGCTGGCTTCGGCTTCGGCGTCGCCAATGGAATCTTGGCTACGTGCTGCAGATGCCGGGTTCCAAAGGCTGCACTGTCAACCGAAGCCCATCAAAGCGATTTGAGGGCAAGTTCACTTTGGGGTATTTAATGAGAATTGTCTCCTTTGCCACTGGCTCTGGTTTTGGGCCTAGTTGCATCCTACGTTGGGTGAACGGCTTCCGGAGGCGATTAGAAGGAACCGCATGCCAAGCCCGCACGCCACGTGAACATAAAATGAAGCAATGTGCGGTGGTGCGTGGCGGCATGCCGTGGTCCTGCTGCTGCTGCTACTGCTGCTACTGCTGCTGCTGCTACTACTACTACTACTACTACCAGTCGCACTACTGGTACTAGCACTAGTATTAGTATTACTATCATTTTTCCCTTAGTACCAGTATTAATATTCCAATTGATATGAAGCGGGGGAATCGAGCTCTCGTGTGGAGCATCCTCACATTTGGCATCGAAATAGTACTCTCGTGTGGGGTGTTCTCGCATTTTTGCTCAGAAGCAAACTCTGGCGTTTAGAGTCCTCACAAAAAAGAAGACAGGAAAGACAAAACGGCAAGCAATCACAAAAGAGACAAAAACACAACCTCATCCGTAGGCATGTCCAGAAAAGTGGTGGGCCGACAACAATCAGATGAAGGGTTGCATTGACCTATATGACCTATACTTGTTGCCCCAAATATGAGGGCTGGGACCATGTAAGAGTCAGCTGTCCCTTGTCGCTACTTCCTATACGAGACCGAGAAATGAAGCAACGGCTGAAGGAATCATGTTCCCTGTCATGGCTGGTGGCTTCTACGTTGCTGATGCCTCAGCCATCTGAGGGTTTGTTGAAGCCAGGGATCTTTTTGGGTGGGCTTTGGGGTGTTTAGTGGGAATATGGGCTAGTAGGACGCTTACATGGGAGATGTCTAGATTAAGAGTGCTGGTAATTTGGGTAATGAGACCATGTCATGTCGTGACTGAAAGCAGTTGGATGTGGAGTCCATGGAATGAGTTGCCTAAAAGATCGCGGACTGAAAAATGAATTTGTTGTCCAGGGAGAACTGGTCAGTGAATCCCATCAACAGTTCCCTCATGAGCTACTGTCAATATTAGCCTTCAGGCCCCAGTGTAGTCCCTAGTAACCATGTCCGTAAAATTGTGTAGGAAATGTTGGCTGTAGCTCATATTGCTTCCTTACTCCTTTGTTCAGCAGTAGGGCGGCAGTCTGAAGACGCCCAGCATGGGTCCGCATCACAAGCATGAGAGGATACATTTCCCAGAAGCTTGGGGCTCGGTGACAATATGCGGCCACCTCTGTGCGAATCACTTATTTCGCTAGATCTTGCCGAGAGAGCGGCCAAGCAAGGCTTCTTACTCGTATAGAGCACGGAGTCAACAGACTCAAATCAACAGCCAACAAAATTTAGGGGCAGATATCCAAGAGTCTTGAGTTGCAAGATTGGGCTGTAAGGCCTCGATCCTCATCCGAGATGGAACAGCCGACTTCACAGGGGTGATGATGGCATTCATGGGCTGCTGGTCCCAGATTTCTGTTTGAAGATGGGTGGCGAGGGCGCTTTCGTCCTGAGCGAATTGCTCATCTGACCCGACCATTCACAACGTCAAGTGATTTCCGTTGCCTCTTCTTGAGCCGTCATGATAGTTGTAAGGTGTAAGGGGTGGCTGGGCGTGTTTTGAGTCATAGCTTGTTGCCTGTTTCCTATTGGAGGTGTATGTACGTCAAACTCACCCATGCCTAAGACCTTCCACCACTCTCTGCCCCTGGGTGGTGAAATACGAGGGCAGCTTTTTGCTACTTGTGGGGCATGAGCGGGAAGATGGCCTCTCCCTTTGGTGTTAGAACTAGCTGATTTCAGTATGATTTTGGCTTGCTTGCTACCATTTGTACTGGCGGAGTGTCTCTCGCATATCGCCGAATTCAAGGCGTCTTCTATGCAGGCATGGGCGCTGGTCAGGCTGCAGCAACCCGACTTTCCTAGAAAAAGCTTTTGATCCTGCGAGTCAAAGTGGAATTCATAAACATGGACAAAATCTCCTGAACGTCAATCAAAGGCTTTGGAAGAGCAACACGCTTGGAGGGTGGGTCTTCAGGGCTTGTGAGGCTTGTATATATACCCTATTATAATTTAGTAGTTTCCATTTTCTTTTCCATTATCCCTATATACCCCCTATATAATCCCCCAAAATCCCCATATAACCCCTATATAATCCCTTATAATCCCTATAGTTTCCATTTTCTTTTCCATCATCCTTATATAACCCCAATATTCCCCCTTTGATGAGTTCAGGTGATGGCAGGCGATGCCACGAAGGCGAAGGTGGCTTGCCACGACATGTTTCTTGGAAGCACAGGGAATGGGTTTAGGGTTTAGGGTTGGGGTAATATGGGTTATATGGATATGACGGAGAAGAAAATGGAAACTATAGGGATTATATAGGGGCTTATATGGGGATAATGGCAAAGAAAATGGAAACTACTAAATCATAAGGGGGTATACAGACAATGGGTGATCTCTGCGGAAGCGAAGGCAACAGATATAGTGTCAGCAAAAGTGTTAACTCAGAAGCAAGACTTTTTGCTGGGGGGGGGGCAGACGATCAGCTCTGGCAAAACAAGGAGAGAGAGTAGCAAAAAGTGTTAGCGTAGCCGGAAATCATCACAAGCCGGGATCAGAATGTTCAGAGAATGCCCATCCGTCATCTCAAATTCTGGTTGTTCGCCAGCATTAGAATCCGTTCCGAAAGACTTCTGAGGTTCAAGCTCATGGACCGAGTCTCGCAGATCAATGGCCTTGAGCCAGTAGGACCCCACCATGGGAGAATCAGGTCTGCAGCTGCACAAGTGCATAAATTCAAGCTGGAATAGACATGGGGCCTTGTTCTGAATGTGCATCAAATGGGCCAAGGGCAGAAGATGACTAAGATGCAACCAGCTTCGCATAATCAAGCGTGAACCATGCATGTCTGGCTTGTTCCCGTTCATGAGCAGGAGAGATCCCCAAAGAACTGCACGCCGGGCACATTGAGTTCGAGGACTCGTTTGCGGTCCTTATGCAGATCCGAGTGGCTTCCAGAAGTTATGATGATGGGTCCAGAGACTCAATGCTATTTATGATAGGGCTCAATTTGGGGCAAGCAAAGCAGGCGAAGGATCCTTCTGCATGGAGCTGGAACTCTGCAAACTGAAAGCTTAGAAGTAAGTGTTTCACACTTGTATGTATTGTTATACACGCAGATACATGCCAGATGTTGTTTGCATCAAGTGAGAGCATCAGGACGTTAAGTTCTTCTACCCTTTCCGACCAGAGATCCAGGTGCTCAAGGGCATCCTGCCTGCCATAAACCAAAGGAAGGCTTCGCGATAATTTCAGTATAGGTAACAATCCTGAGATTGCTCAGAATCCTAGCTAGCTAGCCGCTGCTAGGGTTCAGGTATCCAGGCTCATGCAGGGTTTTTTTTCGTCAGCACTACAAGTGCAAGACCAGCATCTAAGACCCAGAAGAATCGCACATGATTTCAGCTCTACATCCGATAAAGCCTCCTATACTAAGACCCTCTGCAGCCAGTGCATTCAACCAGGGCGTATTTGCCAAGTCTCTAAAGGTAAAGTTTGCAGAACCAGAAGCTAGCGGCCACGGCTATACAGCCAGTCAAGGCTTGTTCAGTCAATGCAGGCGCTATTTATATAAGTGTGCAAAATAGGTGCAAGGGGCTTTCGAGGACTCTTTCAATGAAAGCTTTCCAGCATATGTATGTCAGCTGACAGGGCCACACCTCTGCCTGCGAAGACTTGTGCAGACTAGTGTAGATCACATGAGCTATAGTCTAAACTCCTTAAAAGGGGGTTATATGGGGGACTATATATGGGACTACTATAGGGGTTATTAAGGGGGATACTAGGAGTTTAGACTATAGCTCACATGGGCATTTATAGGCCGCAGCACCAGACGCAGTGATTATGAAAAGCTTTAAATCTATGTCCTGTACA